CAGATTTAATAACAATAAACCACAAAAGAAGAGATTAAATTAATGTCAATATTGTCAAAGGAATATCGTATAGAATGCCTGAAATTCTCATGGCAGTGAACGTGTTAATACTTTTTTCATTTCATCATTCGACGCGTTAAAGTCATCGTATGCAGATCTCCGAATAACATTCGCAATATTGAATACCAGTCGGACGACTCCCGCAAGCTCGCTGTGAATCAAAAGGTGGTCCGACTTTCCGCGTGAGCCGATCGGATAACGCTGATTTCCGTCGATTCACCGTGCCCGATTCGAAGTCGACCGACTGGCCAACATTTCGTTGCCCGCGCGCCGAGGAAAAAACCGGTCGAAAAGGCGCAGCGGATTTCGATTGGCGGGGACGTTGGGCTCGATTCGATTTCACGGGCGAAATCGGGCCTGGCCGGAGGACCCGATACCCGGCGTCGCGCTGCTGCTATCTAACCGCGCGGCGGATGCGGCGTTATATCGGCTGAAATTTATTGACGTTACGACAACGCCCGACGACTGCACGATGCCGTGCACGTTTCATCGAACGTGACTCCCTGCGGAGTGACTGGGATCGTGCACGCCGCTACACCGGGTTGTCCTCGTGCAGGGGGCCACGGTTCCGAGCCGAGTTTCCTCGGATATCCCGGCATCAACCAGCGCCGAGCGGACTTCTTGCTGATTATCTTACATTGAGCGGAACGTGAGGCGTGTTTTTGGCGCGGGGAGACTAACGATCCGATTTTCCGGATGTATTTGCGAACGTACACGGGATTATTGATCTCCCATCGTGTTCGAATGATATTTATTGGCGCAAGTGATCTATGCAGCGTGCGGACATGGGTTTAGTAGGTGACAGTGTGCTTGGAATTATAGTTTTGGTGGTTGACGTGGAAGTGGTAGGATGTAGTTTGGTAATGCTGATTGGTGAAGTTGAGGATGAAGTTTGTTACTGTCTATAGTACTGTAGTAGAATGAAGTACACGGGATTATCGATCTCCCATCGTGTTCGGATATTTATTGCCAAGTGATCTATGCATCGTGTGGACGTGGGTTTAGTAGATGATAGTGTGCTTGGAATTATAGTTTTAGTGGTTGACGTGGAAGTGGTAGGATGTAGTTTGGTAATGCTGATTTGAGAAGTTGAGGATCAAGTTTGTTATTATCTATAATTCTGTAGTAGAATGAAGTACACGGAATTATCGATCTCCTGTCCTGCTCGGATGATATTTATTGGTGCAAGTGATCTATGCATCGTGTGGACATGGGTTTAGTAGATGATAGTGTGCTTGGAATTATAGTTCTAGTATATGGTTGACGTGGAAGTGGTAGGATGTAGTTTGTTAATGTTGATTTGCGAAGGTGAGGATGAAGTTTGATGAGAAAGCATGTGAATGTATTGTGGTAATGTTAGTATTAAAGTTGAAGTTTGATGAGAAAGCATGTGAAAGTATTGTAGTAATGTTATTAATTGAAAATATCAATATGAACCATTGGAGTGGCACGGGATTTCCAAAAATTCGTCGAAAAAGCGGCGCGACCGCGTTTTCGTGTCGGTTCAGAAACTGATTTACGCTTTTCTATTTTCACATAAAAACTGTAAATAGTGCGATCGTTCTATTTACGAGTTTCTAAGCAGGCAATAATAAAAATGAAAGTGAATAATTAGAAGGAAGGCAAATAAATAAACTTCATTTGATTCTACGAACCGATCGGTTGACACTTTTAGGCAGTATACGGTTAACACAGTATAATGTTAAGAAATTCTTATTGGATATTAACCCTCAGAGTGCCAACTGCTGTGAGCGACGTTGAAGATTTTTCCAAAAAGTGCCAACGTCGATAATACAGCAGAAAATATGAAAAATTCCATTGATGGAATTGGTACTTTTTGGACAAATTTTCATCGACGTTGGCACTCAAAGGGTTAATTACTAATATCGTTAATGTTACCAGTTTCTGAATTCCAATAAATGATAATAGAATGCAATAGAAACGAGCAGTATGGAGTCGTAGAAAAGGACTATCAAATGTTAGCGCGGAATTCAAATTCAAATCAAATATTCGCCGGAAGTTAAGGGTCGAACGTGCGCGCACCGTGGCTCTCAAACAAGAAAAGTCAGCGGACCATTAAAGTGTAATTGTTTCAACGGCCTCTTGTGCGAACTATGCGGCAAAGAGGCACGAAGGAGGAACGGAATTGCATTGATATTAGGAGGAAACAGCATTTCCCCAGTGAAACTTCGCGGAGTCCTCGGTTGAGTTTCCGGTGTCCTTCGGGAACCCTCTTTTAACCCTCGCAAGTTCCCTACAGTTTCGGTGTACTTCGATACTCCTAACTCAATTGATACCGTCTGCTGGTTCCTCGGGGAGCGTCTCGTTAACACTGACCGCGGAACTTTTTGTTTCCTCGCCGAAGAACTCGAAATTGCGTTATTCTTCGTTCTACGTGGTGTTTCCAGCGCCCCGGGTAACCGATTTGTCGACTGTTTGCGGAAACAACGACTGCGCTGTAGCTGTGTCTCGGCAACGGTTAATCAGTCGCTACTTTAACACCGGAACTACATTCGTCAAAATGGCGATTCCTTTTATAATTATTGAAATTAGAGTGATAATTTCCATCAGATTTTATTGAAACTGATTCTTTCATCCATATAATACAATATTACTTAGAAACATGGAAAAATCTTCTATAATTCAAAGAACTTTGAATACTCTATGGTTCTAGAGTTGAACTTCAAACTTTAAGATTCGAAACTCTTCACTGGCACAGAGAGTTCACTAAAGATCTAGGCTGTCAATTATTATGCACAGTTTAACGGTCGCAGATACACCGGCTCCGAATATCAAAAGAAACGAGGATACGGTGTCGCACATTCAGGTCGGACACTCGACGTCGCTATCGCGATCATAAAATCGTGCTCCCTCCTCTTTCGATCATTGTTAATACTGATTGATCGAATTCGATCGGCGTGTTCCCCGCTGGATTTTACGACGTCGTCTTAAATTGGTCTAGACGTATAACTCGGCTAACAACCACTATCAGCCGGGCTCCACGGTATTTCCTTTCCGCCATAATGAGATCGTAAGGCGTACGATCCTTTGTCCCCTGGAAATGTATAGGACCGAGTTTGTTTTCCCGTTTAATGGACGCGCCCGTTTTCCGGCAAGAAACCCGCCGGCCTGAATATCGCTTCCCCATCCACCACCGCCGGTCAAATACCCATAAATTCCGTGTTTCACTTTTCTTAATAATCCCGCTTTTCGAGAGGGTGGAATTATCTAAATGAAATATTCAAGAGGGCCACGGCTACACCCTCGCGACGGTTATTGTACGTGAAAAGCGGTGACAAGAACGAATGAAGCTCGTTTCCAAGGGCCGCTCTTGTTCCGTGGTTTAAGTAAAACGACGAAAGAAGAAGAAAAAAAAGGAAACTCGGGACGGAGAAGGGGTAGGTCGGGCGCACAGAAGAGAAAACTTCTCGTATTTTATCAGTCCACTTAACAATCCCCTTCATTCTTCGCGACAAACTCCCCCGCGAGGAGCCGCCCTTTCAAACTACAAGTTTAATCAATCTTACCCCTTTTCAATTCTGGCCGCTGACCCCGAAAACAAAAAAAAAATGGGAGAGTACTAGACACCCCGGCGTAGCGGGGAATTGGTGCTCGGCATCTCGTTACTTGTCGGTAATGCTTCCGTTCGTTCGGGTGGAACTTTAATTATGTAAAGTAATTATTATAATTGGAAGAATTGATTATCCACGTTGAATCCACGTTACTTTATCACTGTATTACTCAGAGGGATGATTAATCGAGTATTTAATTTCGGAATGTTTGGCTCGATATGTTTGCGAGTTTTCGTTTGGGAATTTGTTTAAATATTTAGAAATTACAATCCGTATATTGAATGTATAATAATCTTCGATTGAACCGCGACGTTCGGCGACCGCGGAGATCGATCGAAATATTTAGAAACTTCAATCTGTATTAAAACAGTCACATTTTCATTCGGTCGAACAATGGCTGGAAACAAATGGAGAAAATAATGAAAAAGAAATTCCCTTTGATAGCCGGGGCAACCGATTCATTAATATTTCCACAGTGTTCCCGCCGTTTTCTATTTCATCCGACCATTAATCGCGGTTCGCGGGGGGAACAACAAACGGGAGAGCAGAATTTTTCAACGCGATCGGACCCCGTTCACCCCCCTTTCGCTCCGTCCCTGTCTCCCATGGCTTCTCTTTCTCTTTCGCGTCTAATTGGTATGAAAAATCACGGAAAGGAGAATGGCGCGAATTACTGGAATTGAAAGCTCCATCCACGGCTCTTAATTACTAGGCCCCCGCTATTGGTGAATTCAGTCGCGCGTTGCGAACCCGGCTTCGCGGAAACTAACGAATGTACTTGGCCGACTTTCTTTACTCTTTCCGCGGGAAACTTTCGTCGCGCACAGCCATTCCGGCCAGTTTTTCGGTTCACTGGCGGCCATTCTCGAACCCGCGAGACGCACGTTCAACCCTATTTTGTTTCTCTCCCTTCCGCCTGCCGCCGCCGCTCCCCTTGTCAATGGAAGTTCTGTATTTCTCGTTGAATTCATAATGACTCGCGTCTACGGCCTCGGAACGCGCGGCTGTGACGATGCTTCCGGCACTTGAAAATGTCGATTTCTCTTTGCGACACTGTTGTAATCGGTTTCTGTTCCGACTGGAACAATATACTTGTAACGACGAAACAAACTCTCGAAAAACGGAAACAGGGACGTAAATTAAGAAACAGAATCTGGGTTACCAGTATTTCGTCAGTTCGGGGTGCTTTGAATTCGATACAATAAATTAATATTCAATACAGAGTTTTTTTTTAATTACGTTTCACGTTATGTTCAGAATTGAATTATATTCGAGTACTGTATTCGTAGCGTGTTAACTATATTTAAATGCTACCTACATTGGAAGTCTGAACTTGTGTAATTTAAAGAAAAATCCTCAAACACTCACCTTCAGAGTCCGAAGTGTCCGACAAAGGCGGTTCGTTCGCAATGTACTGTCGTCCGCTGAGCAAATTATTTTCGACGATCGGTCGTTTGTCTTCGAGCTGCCTCCTAAAGCCGCGATGATCGTCCTGCAATGCAAAACACCAATGGTGCATCGGTTAATATCTACCCAAGAAAATCAATACTCGTCTAATGAGCCGATCGAGCGTTTTCTTTTCAACCTGAATCCCAACCGTTTTCAACTCTGATATAAAGCTTAGACTACCAACGGAATAATAGAGCGTCCTAGATTAAACAAGCCTCGCGAATTCCACCGTCGCAATTCACGATCTATTTCATAAAATAAATCAGTTACTTCATTCGCAGAGAAGAACTATCCCCTCATTTCAGCATCACTCACAATTCACACCAGAAGATAAACATCCCACAACCGAAAAAGAAAGTTCAGTAAAATGACGATTTTACGATTTGCAGTATTAACCCTTTGCACTCGAGAGGTGACCACTTGATTCATATATAGCAAAATAATGAAGTTTCATATATATATATATTAACCCTTTGAACTCAAAAGTTCTTCACTTATATTCTATACTTTCTAACTAGATATAGACAAGATTCTTTAAAATGAATTTAACAAGAAACCATGCACAAATTACGTAACAAAACTACTTTCTCTTAATATTTCACGTACTGATGCAGTATACAAAGGTTAATGGTAAATACCAAAATTTATCACTTTGCTGGATCAAATCATCTGTCGACTGGGAGTCGCCTCTCGAGTGCAAAGTGTATTGAATCGAGTATTGAAATAAAATCGCTCTGTTTATTCAATTATACGTTTATCTCGTCGGAAAATGTTCAATACTTCCAGTGAAAAACTGTCGAGTGCAAAGGGTTAATCACATCGAACACCAATGAAAAACATTTCCACCGATATACCCGAATCTAATGAACAACAGTTGCCAAACACTCCGTTAAAAATCCTTCTCGAGCAATTCGAGACAACAAACGACCCAATTTCAGTCGCAATCCGTGGAACCTCCGATAAAAGTGAACTCGTTTAGAAAAGAAGATTGCACGGTCCCCGGTCGCAACGTCACAAGTAGGCTAATTCGCCGAGGTTTACGCGACGCCGGCGTCGACGGGTCCTCGTGCGACGGACGTGCAGGGCCATCGACGTCGTCTTCGTCGCCGGTTGCATCGCGCATCCGTAATTTCGTTTGACAAGGCATCA